AACACCTCGTGCCCAATCACAACATTGTCAAGGAGCTGTCTCCCAGGAATAAAAGCATTTTGGTTTTCAGAGATACAAACATGTAGGCACTGCTTAAGTCTGAAGGTTAAAATTTTTTAAATCACTTTGTATATGACAGCACAAAGGCTAATAGACCTGAACTGGGTTATGGACATAGGATTTGCACACTTTGGAATAAGAGTAACTAAGGTATGCTTACAGTATCTCAGCATTTGTTCAGAGTCAAAAAATCTTTGCACAGCCACACATATATCCTTACTAAGAAGAGGCCAAAAGTGTTGATAGAAGAGACCTGTCATGCCATCTTCTTCAGGGGCTTTGTCTGGGTTAATGCTAAAAACAACTTGCTTGATGGTGTCCTCATCCACAGTGGCAGTGAGCATAGAATTCATTTCCTCGGTGATGGTGTTGGGGATGATGGGCAGGAGATGATGCCCATCCGTTGATCCTTGAGAAGTGAATAACTGGCTGTAGTAGCTGGTGATGATTTGTTCAATCTCTTCTGGAGAGTCAGTCACTCTGTTTTGATCATTTAACAGCTGTTGGATGGAGTTAATCTTCCTTCTTTGCATGACATAGGCATGAAAAAATTTGGTATTGTTATCTCCAGCCTTGAACCAAAGAGCTCTTGCTTTCTGTTGCCAGAAAAGTTCTTCAGAGACATTTGCAGCATCTAACTCTTGTTGGAGCTTATCCCAAAGATCCCAATTTCTGTTACCTCCAGCTTTTCTCAGATCTTCATGTTGTAGAGTCAGTCTTTTGATTTGAGAAGCACTACTGGAATTAAAGTATTTATTCCAATTGAGTAGTGCTTCCCTAGTTCTCCTGATTTTCTCCTTGAGGATAAACAAGGGAGTTCCTTCAGCTTGTTGACCCCAAACTTTCTGCACCACTTGGTTGATCCCCTCTTTCTGCAACCATCTTTTGTCAAAGAGAAATCTCCTTCCATGCTTGATTGAGTCTTCCCCAATGTTGATAACCAGCATAAAATGATCAGATGAGCTTCTAAACCAGCTGTAGACCTCTGTATTTGGGAACCTCACTTGCCAGCCAAAAGAGACAAACATCCTGTCTAGAACTTCCTCGACAAACCCCTCTCTAGCCCTGTTGTTAGCCCAGGTAAAATGCATTCCCTTTAAGGGGATTTTTTGCACTCCCATCTGAGCCAAAAAGGTGTTAAATCCCCCATAAACTACCTATGGATCTGCAGATGCCTCCTCTTTTGTCTCCTACTGCACAAACATCATTCCAGTCACCAACAAGAAACCAATCATGGCCCCACTTGACTCTCTCCTGTAATAAGAACTACCACTGATCAGCCCTCTCAACTTTAATAGTACTAAGGTAGACAAAGACTGCCCAACAATCAAACCCCTTATTTCTATCTTTATAATGAACAACAACAAAAAAATGATCCCCATAGCAATGCAGAATCTCCATGCCAGCATGCCAAAGAAGAAGAAGACCACCTTTAGTGCCAACAGGCTAAATGAGAAAATGCCTGTCAGTAAAGCCCAGCTTAGAACACGTTTGCAGTATGAATTTTTAAGATTTTTTGAGTTCAGAAAGAAAAAGAAAAGAGAGATGGTGGAGTTGTAAAGCTTCCTTGATCTGGGGAACTGTAGAGGGCCCACCCAGACCTCTACAGTTCCACACCAGAACTCTCATTTGGAACTTGAGGCCCTAAGGTTGGCCCTCGTTTGTGATTCCAGCTTAGGTTTCTTGGTTCCGACTTTCTTATCTTCACCCTTGACCAAAGGTTCCAATTCTGATTCCTCAGAGTCCCTCCTTCTCTTGATTGGATTTGTAATGATAGCTAAAGAATTAGGCTCAGAGTTTCTTGTGAGCCTTCCTTCTGCCTTTGTGGTTCTTCTCCAAGTTTTGTTAAGCCCCTCAGTAATCTTGATCCCTTTGGAAATTTGGTTGAGATCCTCAGGAGGAATGGGCTCAGGTATCTCCATACGGTCTGCAATATTTGAGTGGACTAGCAGGGTGGTAGACTCTTCCACGTTCTCTGGTGTACTTCTTATAGGAGCATTATATAGAACTATATCTCGGTGATGACTAACCAAGGGTTCCACTTCCATATTCTTCTTGCTCAGAGTACCCACAGGAGTGGGAGGAGAATCCTTATAAACTGAGCCAGAAGTGAATTTAGGGGATTCAATTACTCGGTCATCAGCATTTGTCCCTTGATTAGAGTTTGTATGTTGAGGGGATGGAGAACCCCCATTCTGCCCAGAAGAAGAGTTGGAATTTCCCCAATATTGACTTTGCAAGCCTTTTGAAGCTCGCATCCATTCCCCGTATTGACCTTCTCTAAGTCGGTGTTGTTCCACATCATTAATTCTGAGGTCACAACCCTTTTCCAAATGACCCACCTTGCCGCAATAAAAACACATGTTAACAAGACGCTCATATTTGAATGTGACTGTAACAAGTTGAGTGCCTAGCCTGATGGTGGCGCATCGAGGTAGGGCCTCATTAAGGTCTACCGTTACAAGGAGCTTTAAAAGTCGCCCACCTTGATTTCCCAGATTACAAACCAAAACATTGGATGTAGAGTTGAAGATTTTCCCTACCTTTAAGCTGACGTCCGAGGTGAGCCAAATCAGGGGAACATTGTTAACTTGGACCCATAGCTTTAGCTCATTAAAGTAATCCGAGGAGCAGCGCAATCCAGGCGACCATTTGCGGAGCACTAGATATTGATTATCGAGAATCCAGTTTGTTCCCCTTTCTATCCGCTTCATATCCTCTGAGTTCTCAAAAATAAATTGAAAGAAATTCGGCCCTAGCTCCCGAACCTCCACTGCTGAGTTTAATTTCCATATAGCTCCCATGGCTCGCGTGACCCCAGCCAGATGAGCCTTTTTTCCCCCAACTATTTTGCCAAAGAGACTTTTGTGGCATTCCACAATTCCCGCTTGAACGTCTTCATTGCCTAAGTCAATAATCTTGTCCTCGACTGCTGAGAGCGAGAAAACCCTCAGACGGTTCTCCACTTCTTCAGTAGCGTTGTGTCCTAGTTGATCCACCATAGCTTCAGAGGAATAGCTTAAGGGAGAGGGATAACACTCATGAAGAAAAGAAAGTAAGATTAGGGATGAGAAGAGCCCCTCCGATGAGGGAAGAAGCTCTCCGGTGAGAGAAGAACTCTCCGATGAGAGATGGGAAGCTCTCCGACGAGAGGAAGGAAGCTCTCCTAACGAGAGAAAAAAAAACGATGCTATAAAATGAGAGAATATCATGTAAAGAATTTATAAAATCAAAACCGAAATGAGAGTGAATACATGGAATCGAGAGTTCATGACCGAATTTATATATAATCCAACTGTTTTCTAAAAAACCGAGCACAAAAAGTAAACAATTAGCACTTCAAAAACTTAAAAATTAGTAGAGAACAGAGGTAGATGTTGTGAGATGTATGAAAAACTGAATTTTTTTTGGGGAAAGGGTTTATTATCGAAATTTTTTCGTATTATTTTTGATTATTTATTCTTTGATTTTTTTCAATTTTTTTTAATTTTTGGACACGTTACGTCAGGGTCAACCCGACATGTCAATTGGGTGTATAAAATCTGGACCGTTGGATCCAACGGTCAAAGTTGAAAATCTGACCGTTACATGGCAACCGTTGGACCGATGCAGGCTGGGTCAACCCCAGACTGGGAACCCGAATTGGACCAGATTAAAAAAATTAAAAAACAAACTACTGGATCTCCAACGGTCAAATACATTCGACAGCCCAAATCAAATATGAGCAAACGGTCGAGTAGCGCGGGTTCCGACAGGCCTGGCCAAGCAATTAAAAAAATGAAAGAACGTCAGGAACACGCCGGACCGTACCAAGGCCGGGTCAAAAGAAATTTATACACAAGATTCACAACCGGCCCAGTTAAAATACGAGCTTGGGTTCAGGCCCGTTGACCAAGGGCCGGTTCTGGGCTGGGTTAGGTCAGTTCTAGGCTGGTTCGGGTCGAACCAACAGGCCGGGTCGGACCGTGTCCATGACTACATGCCATGATGGTTTTCCAGAAATTACAGGTCCAATATTTATCAAAACAATATACGAAGAACATAAAACACTAGTAATCACCGCAATGGCAATGCAAAACCTGCGTAACATACGAAAAATTTGTCTTCTTTTGGCATGCCACTTCATCTGAAATAACTTCAAGCAGGAGAACACATATAGACTAAAAAAAATAGAAACCAAAGCCAATCAAATTCTTCTCTAACACCGATAACCGCCAACAGCCATTGCCAAACGACACAAGGCTGCCGTTGCTGCCACCAACCCTAGAATCAGTTCGCAAGTTTGTTTTATTTGATCGACCCTTTTATGCTTTTTCTTTTGTTTTTCTTCCTTGGGTATTTGAATGTTTACATACGACTAAAAGTTGCAGGTTTATTTTGTTTGAAAAAATAAATAAACAGAAAACTAGAAGACTTCACATTATTTTTTCATTTTTCAGTTTTCTGAAGCCATGCAATCTGAACTTTGCTCGATTGGCAACCTCATAAATAAGACAATCTCATAAATAAGAACCAACAAGCCTGCAGAAAACAACATGTTCAATAACAATTCAATATTTAATGATTCATTATTCTGCTTAATAGACCTCATTTGTGGTTTAATCGTTTTGACAGGCAATTGTTTCATAGAAGGAAGAAAAGGCACTTACAAATAACACCTGTCAAATGAGCAACACTTGAACCAATGCTCTTGCTTTTTCCTTGATTCGAAATTTGTTTGAATCCGCGTTATTACATAAATGTTCCAAATATGAAAACTACATTTTCTAAGAGCGCCAAGAAGCACATGCCAAACTTATTTTGCACGTTATATGTTTTTGTCAAACTAGCATAATATTACTCATTGGCCGAGAAAGTTAAGCAGACAAGTGTTCAAAGAATGTGTTTTTAGAGAGAGAATCTATACAGGAACACCATAAGCCTTTTTGTTCCTGGTACCTTCAAGCAGTTGCAGCCAGGGCACTTGATGATGATCTGTAACAAGTTCTTTTCGCGGCACGAACAATGTCTTCAACCTAAACCCAAATGAGTGGATAAGTAAAAGCAGTGGGGATATATTAATGGCAAGGATAAAAATAGATATACTGATCTTCGTTGATAACATAGAGCATCTCATATTCACAGGAATGCGCCCATCTGAAATATAAAAGCAGCTTTTGACCATTCCAAATTGACCTTATCAACTATCTTGTGAGTTTGAGATCAAATTCTTGAATGTGGAAATGGAATGTAACGTAACTTAGAAGGTGTGATTGAACTTATACGTGTTCTGAAAAGCATGTAAACACTCTAAGTTTGTTTCGTAACAAGGCATTTGAGCTTATATAAATGATCTTATAAACTCATATACATCTAATAACACTTTCTAGTGTAGATAATTAATTGAAACGATTAGGGTCAATAACATGAAACCATACCAACAATTTGGAGTTTTGGAGTTCTGCCATTATTTTATTCGCCAAGTACAATAAAATTTTATAGAATCTCAAAAATAGATTTTATTATATTAAGGCTCACTCGCAGATCTAAGGAACTGCGGCAATGGCTAGCGCCTAAATAGATCTAAGAAGAACAAACCCAACGTTGTTAAATAGCGGCCATGGCGGTATGACGTGGCTGGTTTTAGCCAGGCTGCCTAGTGGCGTCGATGGTGGAAATTGCAGTTTCCATGCCCTAACAAAAAATAAAAGAGTAATTGGGCTGGTCCAATTTTTTGCAACTGCAGGCATGGCTTGGGGAGTGGGTATTCCTAATTTACTTAAACATAATAAAGACCATTTTGTAAGCAGCAGAAAATGCTGCAGAATGAGTTGGCTGCCTATATTTTTTCAATTTTTTATTTGTTTGTTTTAATCTCTTTATAGTATATGAAATAAAAAATAGGCTCATTTTTTCTTTACTGTCCTTTTTTTAACTCTTTATTTAGTTGTTTAATTTCAGCTATTTTGTTAAAAAAAGCTCTTTTCGGCTGTACTTTATTTTTTATCTCTTATTTCTTTGCTTTGATTTTCAACTCCTTATGTAACTAAAGTTATTTTATGTACTTATTGAAGAGTTTCAAGCTTTTATTATGGTATTATACATGTGTGTGAGTATATATTAGGGTGTATAATATATATATATATATACATATATATATATATATATGGTGGTTTATGGCTCGTGGAAATGAGCCACAATCCACCATCGATAACAACGGATGAACCAGATAGGTGATGAACTATGAGAGTTAGTGGAGGAGAGGTAAGAGATTGAAGAGAGTTTCAACTTTTGTTTTGCAACTAAATGATGTCAAATAAGTTCTACTTCAAAAAAGAATGGGAACACCACCACCCACCCAACCGAAGACGTTCTAATCAAAATTTTAAATAATTAAAAACAAAAGGGAAAAGCAAGACATGTTGGATTGGAGAAACAAGACCAAACTTGATGGTTCATATACTGATATAAGAACTCATCAAAGGTCAACTGCCATAACAATCAAATCCCAGTGATTTTGGGTCTGAAGTTGTCATAAACTATAGCTCAGGAGTCAGGACGACATTTAGAGTCAAGTGCCCATAAGAAACTTCTCAGGTAATTAGTCTCAGCATTACTGTAAATGAAACCACAGCTAGTTGTACACAGGCAATACCCATATCCTTATCAGGCTGAGAAGAAAGTACAGAAGAACTAACCTGTGGGACAGCCATCCTCTCAAGATTTGCAGCATAGGGCATAGGTACATCAGCACCACAAATTCTCTCAACAGCGGCATCAAGATACTCAAAACTGTCTTCGACAACAGATGCACTGAAAGAACCAACAGATTGTTAAAAAATAAATAAAAATATGCATTCATAATAAGAGGAGAGTCAATAAATAATCAAAAATGAAACATATATAGTAAGTAGAGAGAGAGAGAGAGAGAGGGCGACCAGATCTCAGCGCCAACACCATGTTGAGGGAATCCCTCCTCTAAGGTCACAAGTCTATTGGTTTTCCTAATAGAAGCATTTATTGTGGCTCTATCAAGAGGGCGGATTGAACGAAGATTTATCACCTGCATGAACGAAAAGGAACCACAATGAAACCAACATCCCTACCTTAACTCATATAATGAATTGTGTGAATAGACTGATTATTTAGAGTTACCTCAGCACTGATTCCATCTTTTGCAAGGACCTCAGCAGCCTGTACATATTCATAATTAAGAAAAATAAATAAATAAATAAATTAGATTGCAACTTTGCAGATAACTTCTATCTGATATCTGATAAATATGGGACAGACTTGGTCAAGTTCCACCAATTACACTAAATTGATCATCCAAACGTGTTAAATACACCAAGAGCTCACATCAACAGGAAGGTTTGGCAACTCGATGTCGGCCCTTTGCCAACTGGGGTGCAGTATGTTCAAAGGGTTTGGTTGTGCTTTAGTTTGTGATTTTCTTGACTTATATGTAGGTAAGTAGGCAAAAACAAAGCAAATTTGATTGAAATGCGGCCCCATGAATTTCTTGTTCCACAGTGCACCAATTTAAGACAACACATGGTAACAATTTAAGACAACACATGGTAAAGAATGGCAATGATGACATTAAAAACCATTGCTGTTTTAGAAGTTGTTTTATACAGCCAAAACTGGGTCAAGGCTAAGTAGCCTGGCAGTTTTATGTTTCAGGTTTCTGTTAACAATTTCTGGGCACCTTCAAAAGTACTTTGGAACACAGTATGTACCAAAATCCAATTCTGAATTCTCGAAGGACTGTGAAACCAATGTAAGTGACAAAGGGCAAGTCACTAAAAAAATTAACAATTAAAAATAAAAATAAAAAAAGAAACCTAATCTCAGTTGTCCCCCATTCACAGATAGAAAGCAGACCTGAAGAGCATAGCCAACCATCTTTGAGAAAGCAGTGATAGTTACATCACTTCCTGTTCGTTCTATCTGCGAAGGAAATTGAAAAGAAAAAAACAAAAAAAATCAGTTAACATTTGGATGTAACTGGAAACTAAGAGGATATACCTTTGCTTTGCCAATAGGAAGACAGAAACTAGAATCAAGAGCTTCAGCTGAAACAGGAAAGGCTTCACCATACCTGCACAAAGAAGTATACACATTCAAAGATATAATCATATAAACAATATATGATCTAAGATCGCCGCCAAAATAATAAAGATTACAGTAATAGTACTTACAGCAACTCATTTTCAAGGAAGACGACGGGATCCGGATCCCTTATTGCAGCTTTAAGCAGACCACGAGCATCTTCAGAAGAATATGGCGCCAGCACCTTTAACCCCGGACATGAACCATACCATGCTGCGTAGCACTGCAAATAATACAAATTTAATTAACATTGCTAGAAATTCTAATATGTTGTACAAATATGGTGCCATTGCCATGTGAATATATGGAAAAAGAAAGACAGCATCAAGTTATGAATAAATACAGTTACATATTCATTGAATATGGAGCTGGAAGAGTCATTGTTGACAATTTTCCTGGCATGGTGCTAATAATGGACTAGATCAAAATGGCTCAATTAAATTCTAGTGCTTCTTCTATTAGTGAAGTTTCTAGAAAAAAAATATATCAAACGACGCAACGCACCTTGGGTCGCTATGGAAACAGCCTCCTTGTATAATTACAAGGGTAAGGTCTGCGTACAACTGACACCCCAGACCCCAACCTGTTGGGAATATACTGGGTATGTTGACATATTCATACCTGAGAATGTTGAGCACCAACACCAGCAGCAGCACCATTTGGGCCTCTGAAGACAATAGGCACCGATATCTGACCAGCAGACATGTAATTTGATTTTGCAGCAGAATTAATGATGTGATCAATGGCCTGCAACAACGAGATATAGTTAACTCATTTACTTAATGTATAGTATGGTTTAACAATATGTTTATGTCGGAAGTGTGTTCCGTTTGTTTATTTATTTATTTCAGAAGATTAATGTTGAGGTTAAAAGTATTGCTATAATTCAAACTCAATCCATATAACCGTGATCCAAGTCCACATTCCACCAGTAAATAAGCATTATAAAAGCTCCTACAGGCTACATTCATAACAATGGAATTAAAAAAGTTAAGAAGCAACAAGCAATGAACCTTAGTGTAAAATTGCATACTGAACTCCAACATTAGTTGACTCAATGGGTTAAAAGGGCTGATCATATTGTAATTCATACCACTTTTCATAGTGAAACTATGACAGCTAACTTCGCGGAGCTAAGATACCTGAAATTGTGTCAGTTTGACCCTTCAAATTCACTCAGTTAGAGATGAAAGCTAGCAATGATAATGGAAGTAAGATAATAATGGTAACAAATATGATGTATTATTATGCAAAGTTGATTAATTAAAAAATATTATTTCTCGATCCACTGTTTATCTAACGTAAAAATTTGAAGTAATTTCATGGTAGTTATGTGATGTGTGTAAATAGACATAGTTATCAGTTGAAAAGAAAAAAAATAATATACATACATACATACATATATTTATATATATATATATATATATATATCACAATAAAATACGCAACCAGAGTCATGTTTTCAATGCTCAATATCCCAATTAAAGGTTACACAGTCTTTTGACCATTTTGATGCTACAAGCTATAGCTTAAAGCAGACTGGAAGAGAATGGATACAAGAAAAAACAAGTAGAGCATCGGTAGTAAGGTGTTCATTCATAAAGAGACCTAAGAACATCAGCAGAAAATGTATTACGGTTTCTATTAACAGATAGAAAAACTTCCGAGGATGTATACTAGAAAATGATGAATAATGAGTAAACTCAGAGACAGAGAAAATATTGGTGCAGGGAAGAACTCTAACCTGCATCGAGAAATTAAACGTCATAAACTCTATTACAGGCCGTAGGCCATAATACGCTGCACCAACTCCAATTCCAGCAAACCCTGCCTGAAGCAGTTACATGGTTGAGAAAACTTTCAAAATTTTATTAATCTGCCGGATAAAACAGGAACATCCCAACCTCAGTTATGGGTGTATCAAGCACTCTCTCAGGACCATACTTCTCCAAAAGCCCTTTTGAAATCTAGAACATGATATATTAAATAGGGAACAGTTAGAAAAACAACAACTACCACAATTAATAGAATTCATATCTGAGCCAACACTCACCTTATATGCGCCCTGATATTCACCAACCTGCATAACAATAATTTTGTCAACAAAATATCATAAACATGCGGAGAACCAATTGCCAAAATAAAAATTAGAAAAGTCTTTTCATCTCATAATTCATAAATAACAAAACATAGTAATGATACCTCTTCACCCATTAAAAAGACTTTAGGATCAGCAGACATCTCTTCATCAAGTGCCGAGTTTAATGCATCACGCACAGTCATCTGCAAGAAATCGGAATCACATAGGAGTATTTATAACCGACTTCTTTGTGTAATGGTTGATATCCTAAAATCTCGGAAACAGTGATGAAACAACCTCACAGCTAAAACTCTAAGCCCAAAGATTCATGAAATATACATTATCGATCAATGTTTAGCTGTATCAAAGGTTTTTCCCATACCCAAACATCACGGCTTCATCAAAAACCCAATTTTATTGCAAAAATAAGGGTAGATCTTACCTCCTTAGCTGAGGAAGAAAATGCCCTGGATGCAACTACGCGAATTCCTTGCTCGAGACCCTTTTCAAGTCGATTGTCAAAACATAAAGGATCAACCACTCACATTACAAACAGATAATAGTCAAATCAACAAATAAAAATTACTCGAATTCCTTGCTCGAGACCCTTTTCAAGTCAATTTCCAAAACATAAAGGATCAATCATTCACATTACAAACAGATAATAGTCAAATCAACAAATAAAAAGCAGAGATTCACCTTGGCAGGGTTGCCTCTGCACGCTGCTCTTTGCCTTAGAATTCCAAACATATCTTCCCGGCTCTGTAAATCCCCTGACGAACATCAAACAGCACCACAGAAAGATCAGACGCACTCACAAATAAACTGGAAAGCGAATCCAATCTCCAAAACCAAATCAAATATTGTGCCACAATCTCATTGATAAACAGAGAACACAACACAACAGAAAACTGCAACCAAAAGCAACCAATGAACAACGACCAATCGAAACACAGCATTAGCAACTGTTAATGGCAAACGAAAAACGAGAGGCAAAGAAACAAAACCAACCTGGTCGATTTGGGTCGTTTGTTGAAGGAGTGATTTGGATAGGAGAAAGTTTGATCTGTTTTTAGATTTTATTATGGATTTCGATTGAGAATAATAATAATCGCAGGAGCACAGCGCAATTTCGGTCGGTTGGCGGCCCCGCTCACTCTCAAGTGTACCGTACCACTCCTTTCACCAAAGTGGACAATGTGAGGGATGCTTTAACAAGTTGTACATTGCATTATATTAATCCTAGTCCAATTATGACTAGAATGTTTGGTGGATAAAATTTATAAATTAATTTCTTTATCAATCAAGGTATTTGAAAAATTAGTACATCTATGAACATTGTGTAATATAAATAAATAAAATAAATATTTCAATCGGTAAATATTTTATATATTTCTTTATTTTGATTTGTCACCGATATTAACATTATTTTGAAGTGGGGTTTTTTTATTTCTAAATCGATGTTGATAAATAAATATCAGCCTATTTTAAATTAGAGAAATACTTATTTTTGTTTTATATATGAAATATAGTCGTCAAGTAAAAAAGCATTAGAAAAAGATTAGTTTGATATATTATTTATGAAAACTAGCAGCACATAATTGAAATCCGGTAGCTATGCGAAGTCGAAGAAGATCGACCCCAGGGTGACGGAGAGGTGTTGGAGGGAGGCGCCGCGTTTTCAGGTGAGCAAGTGAAGAAGATAAAAAAATTTCAAGTAATTTCGTGTTCGATTTGTCAGGTTTTTAATCTGATTTCACCATTAAAGCAGTTGGAGTTCTGTATGCATTCGACCTCGCATTTTAGAGGCGATGCCTCTGTAATTTTGAATGTTTTGTTGTTTGCTATTTAGGTGAGGGTAAGGCCAAGAAGTCCAGAAGTGGAGCTTCATTTGCTCGTTGATATCAACTCCAACAATGTGGCCATGGATTAGGATGTGGAACTTGAAATCTAAAGGTGAGTGATGATTGGGTACCACCTTACCATATTGAATATATGAAATTGTAACTATTAGGTATTGCCGGCTTGTTTTGCCTAGAAAAATTATCATGGTATAGTACATAAGAAACCACCTTTGATTTCTAAGGTACAGTTACAAGCTTCTTTCGTTCTTCTTTCTTGGAAGTCCTCAGGATTATTATGAGGAATTAATTTGATGTTAGGATCATGAACGTGCCTACTGTGATTGGGCCTTGGGAAAGGTAAGAACTTTCATTGTCATTTGTTTGGTGAGTTTGAAGCTTTTAACTTAATAATTCGAAAACTGTGATATGTAATTTGTTGGATATTTGTTCATGCTTTATGCTGCAGCAAGGTGCAACTAGGCCTAAAGGACCACTGGAGGCTCTCCGGCCAAAGCTACAGGTAGTTCTTACTAAGTTTACTAGAAGGAATTTTATATGGGTTACAAATTCATATAGCTCCAACGTTACCTCGAACTTCAATTTTTTTTGTTGGTCTTGGATTTTTCACATATTATTTGTCAAAAAAAATTGCTATATATTCACTCCAACAAATATAGATTCCATTTTTAGTGTGTGTGTGTGTGTGTACTTCTTGATTACTGGAATACATCTAACTTTACAATGGCGGTGGCACAGATAGTTCGACACTAATAATTGTTGACCACAACTAACATGTCATCAACATCTTACTTGAAACTTCTTATTGAACTAAAAGAGCTACTATATTTATAATTGTATGAGAGGTGGAGGGGTTGGGTTATTGTTAGAATGCGTCTTTGCTTTGCGTGAGAAATGAAAAATGTTATCGATACCAATAGTGTTATTGAACATGCATGATAATGATATATGGTACACACTCATATGATCAATGTTTCCTAAGGACCCATATATTATCTACAAAAGAGGTGCTTTTAATTTCCTTGTCGGGTGTTCTAATCTGATTTTGAGGTTATGCATGTATTGATGATGTTACATGAATTAATTGTCTGAGAAGAGGTCATGTGTCCAAATTACTTCCGGGCCATGCTTTGGAATCATGGGAAGAGTACACTTTCAACAAGGTAAACCAAGTCAAGTGGACATTTGATGGTTCTACAAAGGTTTAGACTATATGCTTTAATAGTTTTATCATAATTATATGCTTGCACTCTTTTGTAGGGGTTTAAGTCTATAACATTTGAGTCTTGAACAAGTTCATTACAAAAACATCAATTAATACGTGTAATGGGAGCTTGTTTTGGTTGTGAGTCCAACAAACACATGTTCACTTTCATGAACTAAGGTGTCTGGTAATTATTATCAATCGAAAAGGAGATAGAAAACCAGGTAATGCTATAACTACAATGAAGCTTTTCCCTACGTTCTTCCAACCAATGTAGTTATTCATTGTTTTTCTTTTATGATTAACAGCGTGCAAAAGTAACTACCACAATGCATGTGACTCCTGATTTATTCATGCAATGGAAGAAGAAAAAGATGGAGGAGAGGGAAGCTGAACTAGCTGGACAGAGGGCTGAGAGAGCTAAGAATGACCGCATGAGGCAAGTAAAACCTTGAGTAAAGAGTTTTAATACTTTTACTTACAGGGGTTATGCACAAAAAATGATTATTGTTTTTTTTTTCCTCAGTGGTTGTGAGCTTTTTCTATCAGACGCTGGCTTGTTTGTTGATGATGTTAAAGCTTATGATAAATATCATAGGAAAAAAGAACCAGGTGTTGATCAAAAGGGTATCACTTCTCTATAAACCCATAAAATAATACCAGTGATATGATGAGTTTCTTTCATCTGAAGAAATTTGGCGTCAATTTAGCGTAAGGCATACTTTTATATAAATGCTAATTTTTATATTGAGGCACTTTAGTTTTTCTCTCTATTTTTTGTAACTTTATTGGATAATAATAAGCCTGTTAGTTTAAGAATTACATGTGACCACAAGGATAGAATGCAATTCTTTTTGCTCTTGTGGAAAAGCTCTAATTGCTTCAGGCTAGATTTAAGAATATTTTACCATTATTGGAGAGACCATTATGACATATTTTTAACTTTTGTATTTTCTTGCCACACTCTTGTTCTGAAATTTTTAATTAATATAAGTCTTCTTAAAACATGAAAAAAAAAATTATATGCAATTTTCGTTATGGTTCAGAAGAATCAGTGCAATGCAAGTCCTACTGTTTTATAAAAGAAATGTAGAAAAATATGTGTATTGCTGCTTGGGGTTTAGGACATGTGAATAGTATCAGAGTCTAGTGGATATGAAATCTTAGAACGCCATGTTGTCTTAGGCAAAATGCTATTGAATAGAAAGGATGTATATTTCCTGGTTCTTTTGCCCTTCACAAACTCTACTATATCAGTGGCCTGCCGGCGTGTTTTTGGTTATGACTGATTTTGTTGAGGATCATACAGATAAATGTGAGAAATTTTTATACCTTATTTTCCAGCAATTTAAGTTCTTTGGTCTATCTCACGTTGGGTTCAATTAAAGGTGTTAGTAGGAGTCTAAAGAATTGTTCTCGTTTTATGCTTGAAAGCTTGGGAGACTTGAGAATAGGCAAGTTAATTCTTGGTCTTAATTGTCTCAGATCTTGTCGCGTGCAGATACTTTTTTCTTACTTTATTAATTTGTCATTATTATTATTATATGAGATTGAGATTATGAGTGTGATTACAGAATAATGTATTTCTTTCATTGAATTGATTTTGTGGATCAAATATCTTTATTGGCTCCTTTTATCACTTCCTATAAGAATCTAATAATTGGTTGGGTGCAGGTGCAGTCTTATCTTCAATAATGGGGGAACCAAAACTTTTATATGCTTTTCTTCAAGTACGCTATATCATGTTTTGATTTTCAACCTTCCCCTCTCAAACTGTGTTCTTCCACCAACAGATTTTCATCCGTTTTATCTTTATTTTGAAGGTGATATCTTGGGTTTTGGGAGAAAATGGGACTATTGAGAACAGAAGCCCACCTAAATGAGAGATAATATGCTCCCCTTCTGCTAAAGACAGTCACTCGCATGACACAAACCGCAGGGCCTGCGACCGCAATACAAGCTCCGCAACTGTTAGCAAAATTATCTGAGATGGAATGCGAGATTGAGGTAACCGCAATAAAGGAATAGATTTGGTGTCCAAGGCAAGAAGAAGCCCTCCGAGCTTGGCAAGAAAATCCACCCCGACCAGAGCCAACGCGAGCGACCCATGCCCCTTCTATTTACAGGCGCAGCATCTCACCGAGCCCCATAATCTCAGAACGCCCTCCATCACACCGAACAGAAGAACCGCCGGAACCCTAGCCCACCTCTAATGGCGTGAGAGAACAAGAGAGATTACCACAGCCCGAACCATGGAGAAGGAGCGGTGAGCCATCCACTGACGAACCCGGCTGACAACTGAGGGTGGCTCAATTCGGCGGAGATCGACGAGCGACAGGAAGATTTGGGTGATTTGGGCCGTTTTTTTTTTCGGCAGAGAGAAATGACGCTGGATGCTCTGTTTTCATTTGGTTTTGATACTATTTTTTATGTGCATAATCACAACATACTATCATCAGTTTTTAATGCACGTTTTTTATTTTTTTTTCGTTTTACTGTGTATTTTTTTATTCTGCAACGATTCATATGAATCTTTTCTTGAGTTACAGTCAATGTCCACTTTGTTTCATCGTGCACAAGTGATAATTTAAAACTTTTTCTTCTTTGCCACAAAAAAAAAAATCCGAAAATAAAAAAATTCATATACTCTTTTCTCTGTTTGTCATATCCATGGGAAGGAAAAGAAAAAATATAGAGAAACCTTTACTGACTGGTGAAGATCCTCTTGCTAAAAGAATTTACAGACAAGAGGCCATTAAAAGATGGAAACTTAAAAAACATCAAAACAAAAGTTGCACTTAATGTTGTTGATGCGGTTCAGATGGGAATAAATAATTTCCATGATTGTGTTGTTAACGAATGTGTTAATATTCATGATGAGTCAAACTATGAGAAACCTACAGAAACTGTTGTTAGTGAAGTTGTTGATGTTGGTAAGGAATTGAGTAGGCATGCAACATTAAAAAGATGAAAAACAAGAAAAAGAAGCAACTGGATAATCAACCTTATGTTCCTGTGCTTCACACGCAGGCAAGTGCAGTTACACAACATTCTAGACTTGAAAATATTAAATCATTTGTTGTGTCGAATTTGTATGACCATCTGGCTAAAACAAGTTATGCTGCAGAAAGCAGAAACAGTGAAAATAATGAGCGAATAATCACTATGAATAGAAAGAAAAAGGAAAAAAAATAATCAAACTAAAATTCTAAGAGATGGTAAAAATAAATTGACATTTATCCCTTTAATGCCATTCGGTTTGTCACCGATGCCTGATTGTCCACATTGTTGTGCCAAAAAAATTCAATATGAAACATATAGTTTATGTTGTCTCAATGGAGATGTTTTGTTAGCTTCTAATGTTGCTCCTCTTATATTTAGAGAGCTCTTCACATCTCCATCAGATGAGGCAAACTTGTTTAGGACTTGTATTCGAACCATAAATAATTATTTTGCATTGACTTTAATGGGGGTTCATTGTGACCAAGATTTAGAAAAACGTAATCAAGGCATTTACACATTCGGGATTCAAGGACGATTGTATCATTTTATAGGGAATTTGTCAGAGTCTAAAAACTTGCAACTATATTTTCATGATACTGATGATGAAGTTAACAAAAGATTAGAAGAATGTCTATGCATGACTGAATCATTAGTCACAAAAATTTTAACAGTGTTACAACAAAATCCATATGTTAGATTCTTAAAGAGTCTCAAAGATATGCCTAATTTAGAAATATATGAAATAGTTTTGAAAACATTGCCTAATGTTGATCAAAGAGTTTTTAATCAACCACAAGTATCTCAAGTGGTTGCATTATGGGTTGAGGGAGAAGATAAGGAGAATTATGCACCAGAAATATAATTGTTCATTCACATAGTGGCCATTCACATCACATAAGTTATTACTTTGGTTGCTATGACCCATTGCAATATCCAATTCTTTTTTTAATTGGGAGAAGTGGGTTGGCATCAAGGTATTAAGAAAAGAGTCCCAACAAGGGAGAAACAACTCTGTTTTACCTGGGGAATTTGTTTTGAGACACATAGCAAACGATTTCGAAGAAATGCTTGATATGGAGCATTCAGGTGGGTGGGTTTCCATCACTTTAATTATCATAATGTTTTGTGGGTTTTTTTTTATTAAAATCAATCTAATAGCTCAAGTTTAGCATTTCTTTTTCCTTTACAACTGGGTCTGTACTATCAGATAACGAGAAATTTGTGATTTTTAGAGCCTACTATTTATATAAACTACATATTAGAGACAATGATAAATCTGTTTTGCTAAGATCTGGTAGACTTTTTCAACAATGCAGTGGATATGTATGTCAAGTTAGAATCGCAACGTTTGGACTTCTTTAGACTCCAACAGGAAGAAATTAGAAATGAATACTTATAGGGAGTTCAAGATGCTCTAGCTTATCAATAATTCTCCCAGGTGGGATCTGAATTTTCTTTGGTGAGAGCGTAATTCTCTTGGGTGAGAGGTAAATTCCGACGATTGTTGGGTTCATTTCCGTTTTTATTTTCATTTTCTTTCAGATTGTGGGGTTTGTATTGGAGTTTCGCGTGAAGGGGAGTTGTGGGTTCCCTAATTAGGGTTCTATTGGGTTTTTTGTTGTTCTATCATTGGCTTTGATATATATGGAGGATCTGACACCAGATATTTCTAAGGCAGGGGAGGGGGATGATGGGGTTCTGCAAAAACTGTTTAAGATGTCTCTATCGGCTAAAGAATCGGGGAAGGCTGAAATTACGCGAGATGATATCAAATCCAACGATGAGGAATGCAACAGAGCTTATTTAGGAAAGTGGTGGGAGACAGCATGCTAGGCTCTTGGAAGTCAAGAGAACTATGGGTGCCATATGGAGAATGCAACACTCGATGGAAGTGAAAGAGATTAGTGAGAATTTCTTCCAGTTTATTTTTGTC